GTGAGGGATAAAGGGGGAGAGAAACATCAATATGTGAGAACTGTATTGATCAGTTGCCTGTTGCATGCCCCCAAGACCTGGCCCACAACCCAGGCATGGGCCCTGACCAGGAATCGAACCGGCTGCCTTTTGGTTCACAGGCCGGCACTCAATCCACTGAGCCACGCCAGCCAGGGTATGAACCTCTTAAAAACTTAATGTTGCCTCCAGAATATTTTTGGTGTAAAACTCTGGACGAGTGTGGTGGTTCAGTCAACTCTCCTGACCATGTGGTGCCCGTTGTCACCTCTTAACATCGTTCCCCTGACCCCAGCTCACCTCTTCCTCTCCTCCAGCGCCTTGCTCAGGTCCGCCCACCCAAGAGGCCCCGTGAGCCAGTGGGTCCTTGGGTCCTAGGCGGTGCCCCCCTGAGCGGTGGTGATTTCTGTTCGGGTATCACCCATTACCTTACCCAGGTCACCCTCTGGCGAAGAGGGGCTCCGCATCTTCAGTGTCCAGCGAAGAGTGAGCAGCTGGCCATGACAGATGCTGGGGCAACGCGGTGGGCGGGCAACGTGGAAACGCACGTGCTCTGCGGGCAGCCTTGTTGGACTCGCACTGAGCCTGCGCTCGAGTGAATCCCAGGTCTTGCCCTGACCGGTGTGGCTCAGTGGGTAATGAAGGGTCGCCAGTTAGACCCCATCCTGGTCAGGGCACGTTCCCAGGATGCAGGGTCTGTCCTCGGTCGGGTGCGTAAGCAACCAATAGATGTTTCTCTCTTTTTATCCCTCCTTTCCCTTCTCTCTAAAAATAAAGTCTTAAACAAACCAACCTGCAGTCCTTTTCACGTAAACTAATGTGAAGTCAGTTACAACTCTCTTCGCTCCACTCTCCCTGCCTCCCTCTCTCCCCGCCCCCACCCGCTCTTGAATCCAGCGTTCCAGGGCTTCCTCTCTCCTGTCACCTCTCCTGTCTGTCCTTACCTCTGTGCTGTCGTGCATCCCTCGTCTTCCCCACGCCGCCCCGGAGATGAGGGAACAGCCCTCCGCGCGTCTTTTCGGCAGAAGGGACATGTGGTCACACGGGGCAGGGGCGAGAGCGGCAACGACGTCATGAGACGTGAGAGTGACGGCCATCATCAACTGGAGCAACGAAGTGACATCTTGGGGGGCCTCCCTGGGACCTTCTCCCCTTTCAGTAATGGATGTTTCAAATAATGGCTTTGGTTAATAAAAAAGTTTGTTTCAGGTCTCCATTTAAGAAGTCAGCGGTGAGAGCGTCGGAGATCGCGCGTCTTCAAATGTTTCTGTACTTTTCAAATATTTCTTAATGAACACGTTAGCCTTTTATAATCCGAGGAAGACACTTTAAAAGCAGGACAGGGAACACGACATCCTAAGGTTTCTACGGAACATCCTACCTGTGATGACATTGAAACCGTGGGAAAGGACCGGCCAGTGGTCACCGCCAGGCCGGCATGTGGCCGCTGCTGGGAAAAGTGGTTCCGGGGTAGTCGGGGGCAGGGGACCGCCGAGGGGAATGGGAGGGTCGCCATGCTTTTCTTTCTACAGGAAACCGCTGGACAGGTAGAAAAGCCAGACTCTTGGAGCGAGTTCAGTGATTGGCTGAAGCAAGAAACCCCGAGGAGGCGTCTGCCAGAAAAACGTAGGCAGGTTGCACCGACCGTGAGAAGCCCGTTGAAGTGCAGGGGTGACCCGTCTGAGCCCAAGCTCAGGAGGAAGCATTTCAGTTCCACAACAGTTACACCACTGCAAGGGAGGAGCCTCAGAGTCCCTCTGGGTGGAAGGAGCAGAGAGCACTTAGCAGGAGTCAGGAACTATTTATCATCAAAATAGATGCAGCTCACTGGATGGAACCGTGCAGTTGGGGGAGGAGAACAGCACACAGTAGGGCTGTAGAGCAGCTCCGTTCCCCTCGGCACTGCTCTTGCACAAGCTCTGTCTCCTCACTTCCCACCCCGATGAGATTTTGAGGACATCTCAATTTTTGTAATGCTTCTCATTGCTCTTAAATCAGAAAATATTATCTAGCCATGTTTGGTCATTAAAATGCCTTATTTTAGCCCTGGCTGGTGTGGCTCAGTGGATCAAGTGCTGGCCTGCGAACCGAAAGGTCACTGGTTCAATTCCCAGTCAGTCAGGGCATACGCCTGGGTTGCGGGCCAGGTCCCTGGTACGGGGCGCGTGAGAGGCAACCACACATTGATGTTTCTCTCCCTCTCTTTCTCCCTCCTTTCCCCTCTCTCTAAAAGTAAATAAATGGAATCTTAAAAAAAAAATCTTTAGACAATAAGGAAGGTCTCATTTTAGTAATTAAATGTCTGGCCTGGCATAACAAAACCCCTGGACGTAAGGCTTCTCCCATCCCCAGTTCAGACCTGCAACAAAGCGCGACCCTCCTGGGAGAACCCATTCTCTGCCCTGGCGCGTCTCCTCGAACCCACCCTGCTGCCCTCCACAAACGCTGCGGATAAGGGAAAGCCTGCTTCTCATAGCTTCTTTCCACGTGTTGTCTGGGCTGCTATAAACCATTTCTAAAAGAACAGCTTGTACCCTACACTGAGCATCTTCAGGGATTTTATTTGGGGGGAAGAGGCAGGGAGGAGGTTCGGGTGGACAGGCGTGTGATACGTCTCCAGGGTCTGGGGCTGAATGTGTCCCGCTCTCGACGGGGCTTTGCAAGGCTCTTGACTGAGAACCCCGCCTCCCCATGCTGTGCAGTGATGCTGGGACCACCTTTGTGCCCCCATTTCCCTTGCTTACTCTTGGGGCCCAGTGCCCCCAGGAGAGGAGTTCTGCTTGTGCGGGGTCACCGCCCCTCAGGGTGGCTCACACCTGCGTAACCCGGTGTCCTGGGCTAGCCTCACACACCAGGCGATGCTGCCGGGATTACAGATAGAGGGTGGAGGGACGGGCACTGGGGGCGCAGGGGGTGAGGCAGGTTGGGAAGAGGAGGATCACCAGGGGACCAGCTCTTCTCAGAACGGTGTTTCTTCAGGGGACAGGTTGAAGACCCTGTCTTCCTGAGCAGTCACCATGTCACTAATCAACATACTGCAGAGAGACCTTCCAGTCTTCTGACCCAACTCTGATGCACAATTCACACTTTCCCTTTGTGTCTACCAACAAACTCGCCCCGAAAACCCATCAAATGCCTTGCTGACTCTTCTGATATAGAGGAACCCCCCCCATCTGCGGTGGACACATTCCAAGACCCCCATTGAACACCTGAAACCTTGGATGGTAATGAACCCTATATATGCTATTTTTTCCTGCACATCCATACCTATGATCAAGTTTATAAAACAGGCACAGTGAGATATTAATGATAAAATAGAACAATTATAACAATATGTCGTAACAGAAGTTAGTGAATGGCTGTAGAGCCATTACCAAGCGAAGTGACTTGAACACAGGCTACCGTGACAGCCAACCTAGCAGCCTAGAGGACGGCCGAGGGTCAGGGCGTGTCTACAGGGTGCGTACGCCGGGCAAAGGGGTGATTCCGGGGTGGCATGGAGCGGGCAGGCTCGAGGGTCGATCCTGCTACTCAGAATGGCGCAGGATTGAATGCTTTTTTGGAATTTTCCATTTAATATTTATGGACCAAGGGTGGTTACCAGTAACTGAAAGCCAGGGAAGTGAAACTGGATCAGGGGGAGCTGCTGTGCTTGGCTTTATCTACAGTACGGGGTCCCATCCTGAGCTGCCCATCCCTGTGGAACCACGCATTCCAACTCCCTGTAGCTCTCAGAATCAGTGGTTGCTGAAAGGCCGCCAGCTAACCCTGCGAGGTCCTCGAGAACGGTTGGACGTTAAAAAGAGATGTTCGTCTTTGAGATCCCTGCTTTGGACCAAATGGGGTCAAAACCCACGTCTGAGGGTGGTGTGTCATTGGAATCAGCTGGGGAGATATTTCAAAATTCCCAACGAGGGTCAAGTGTTGATTTTTATAGAGGTCCACAGATGTTTTTGATGTGCCAAGGTTGGGTCTTGAAAAGCAGCTCCCAATGGAAAAAGGCAGCAACGAGGAGGGCTTCATCAGGTGTCGGTGAGACACCCACGGAACGATGAGAGCACCCCAAGTGCATGACGGGCTGGTAACCGGTGTGGTTTCCGCCTTAAAGGCTTGCCAAGGCCAGACGCTGTTTTAAACAGCGTGAGGGGAATTGGTGTGGAGTGAGCATGGAATGAGCGGGCGAAGGCAAGTAAACAGGTTAAAATCCTCTTTAAGACGTTCTTCTGAGTACCTACTGCATCCTCGGTACGGTGCAGTAAAAGGTGAGTCCAGAAGGTGGAATGACAAATCCGCTTGAGGTCACCCAGGGAGCTCATGGTAGAGGGGACGGTGTAAACTGTATCCTAAAGGACAAAGAGGCTTCATCCGTTGGGATCAGCTGGACGCAGGCAGGGAAGAACGTCCGGGTGGGGGAACAACACTGGAAAAAGTGGAGAGGAGGAGGAAGAGAGCGCATGGCCCAGCGTTGCAGATACTGCTGATGCGGCCAGCCTGCGGGTGGGGCAAGTCGGAGGTCCCCTCTGCAGAGATAGGGGTTGAAGCCACACCCCGGGGGCTCCGAAGGGGGTGGGAGGGAACGGGGAGCTGGCAGGACCTCAGGACCAGGAGTGGGGACCCCACGCGCGTTCAGAGAAGGCAGAGGCTCGCTCTGCGGCCCCGAGGAAGGGATGTGAGCTGGCCTTCATTTGCAATGTCTTCCGAAGTTACAGCTGCGGTGTAAGTACATCTGTGTGCAAGCTTTGGTTCTGATGGTGAATGGGGAATATAATTAACCATGACCAGAAAAGTGACGTTGACAGTGAGGCGAATGTTGCCCGCGGCACTTGCCAAAAACGCACCTGTTGGAGGCCAGAAGGAGGGTGCCGAGGGCGGCAGGGACTCCCGTGGCCCCGCGCCTCGCCCGCGCCTCGCCCGTCTGGGCCGCCGCGCCCTCCGGGGGCGTGGCCACCCGCAGACCCGCCCCACCCAGCCCCGCCGCCACGTGATCTGTCAGCTCGGAGAGACACAGGAAAATGGCCGCCGGGCGTGTGGAGGGCGACGCGCTGGAAGCCGCCGTGTCCCCGTTTCCCGGGGTCTAACAGCGCCTGCGGTAAAACGGGCCCTTTCCGGCCGAGCTCCCCTCGGCCGACTGTGAGACGGTGAGTGTCGAGGTCGGCTTCGCGGGATCGCCGAGCGGGGAGGGGGCGAGGCCGGGGAGCCGGGGGCGGGGGTCCCCGCGAGTCCCCGGGAGCGCCGGGAGGTCTCGGGCTTGAGGCCTCAGGGCTGTCTCTCCGGGGCCGACAGGCTCCTCGGGGCGGGGGCGGGGTGTGAAACAGTTATTTTCCCGGTGCGGAGCCGCCGCCGGCTCCCCGGCCGCCGCCGCGGGGAGTGCCCCGCCCCTGCTCCCCGCAGAGGCGGGCGAGCGGCGCCTGTGCTGGGGCCGCGGGGCCGGGGCCTTGGTTTTCCCTCTGTGCTCTCCTCCCGGGCTCCAAGGCTCCGTGGCTCCATTGTCCTGTGCCGGCCTTCAAACGCCTGGCAGCGGAGTGGCAGGCCATCGATTTTACGCCTTCCTGATTTATTGCCACGGAAACGATCTTTTGGTCGACCACCCACGTGAGATCATTTTTCTTTCAAGCCGTTTTGACACACGGAAACGACGAAGACCATTTTGCTCCTAATAACTGTGTATGCAGCCCCCTTGGCTGGCCGTCAGGGGCGCTGGTTCACAGGGAGCCTTGTCCTTGGAGAGTCCCATTCAGCTGGCCCCGGGTGTGGCCAGGCCTCGCCCCTCCGCACCCGAAGTGGGGTTCGCATGCATTTTGTGGGCGCCCACACTTCGGCAGCACTGGGGGTCAGGCCCCTGAGTGTGTCTGAAAGCGCCGCAGGGCGCCCGGTGCAGAGCGGAGGTCGGGAAACGCCTCGCCAGGGTGGGTTCTTTGTTCTCCAGCCTGGCCGGCTCTGACAGTCAGGTGTCCCTTCTCTTATCAGACTGAGATCCTAGCGGGAGAGACGGCTGCCAAATAAGCATATAGGTAAAGGACAAGTTTAGAAAAGGCTGTGAGGGGAATTACAAAACACCCTAAAGCAAAGGACCCCGTGACAGGTGGAGCCCAGGTGACGGGGCCACAGGGAGAGGGGAGCGAAGAGGTGGTCCCATTCTGTGGGTGTGCGCGGCGGCCCGTGTCCTCCAGTTCACAGGGGCCAGGCCATATTTTAACCCCTTGTCACCTAACTGTGCAGTTACCTAAAGATGGTGAAACTTGGACCCCGAGGCCAAGAAGTGGCCCACGGTGAAAAACATTGAATAGCCCAGTCAGGAGTCCACCCAAGCTGCCCGGTTCCAGGGTCTGTGCCTTTTGCACTGTACTCAGCTGCACTTGCGAAGAAGGCCCTTTTGAAGAGATAACATTGAAATGAAGGTTGGACAAGGCTCATGTTTTTGTCTATGTTCAGATGTGATTTCCAAGTGGCTTTGGTTTTGTCTTGACGTCACGGTCGGAGTTACCTTCTTTGATGTTGGTGTCCTGGGAGGTTGTTTATGTTCCCCGAGGACACAGAGGCCTGACCGGAGGGGCTGCTTTTCTCTTTCTGGCCCCTGCGATGAAGGCGTCCTGCTGGAGGGAAGGTGGGTCCCACGGGAGCCGAGGGCCGATGTGGACAAGGGTGAGTGGCGTGGGAGGCTGGGTGGGGCAGGTAGGAGCAGGCTAAGTTTAGGTGCCCACAGCGGGTGGAGTTGTCCCAGAGGTGGGACCCGGCCCGCCTTCAGGAGACGGTGCTGGAGGGGTGGACGCTGTCCGGGCGTGTGTGGAGGATGGGCGTCCTGGGAGGAGGGGCGGCGAGTGCAAAGGCCCGGGAAGAAGGCGTGGGGCAGCCGCGGCCTGCAAGGGCGTTAGTCTGGCTGCGGCGGGCAGTGTGGCGTGAGTGGGGAGCAGGCTGGGGCACGGGCGGGAGGGGAGAGGTGTGGCCGGGCGGAGGGATGCGGCCACACTGTGTGGGCTGCTTGCCCCGTCACTAGGCAGAGCTGAGCGCGGGAGTCCTCACCGCTGCCGCGGAGCAGAGCTTTCTGGAGGTGGGAATTGTGGGACCGGATCTTCACAGCCGCTCTGAAAGGCTTGTAAGGGCTTCAGGTCCTTGACTAAGGTGGGAATGACGGAGCCATCATCTTCTGGTCTCCGGCATGGATTTGTTGCGGGGGGGGGGGGTACCTAACGGAAGGCCGTTAAGCATGTTTCTGCTTACTCTCGCTTCCGTGTGGCAGCTGGACTGGATGGGGGGAAGGCAGGTGAGCAGGAGGCAGGACACACAAGCTGGGAGACTGTCATGGCGGTGCAGGTGTCGCAGGGGACGCGTTGAGGGCCGGCGCCTAGGCCACAGCAGTTCCTCTTTTCTGGAAACAGTGCCCACACAGTGCGACCTTGTGACGTCTTCCCAGCCCTGTGACTGTGACTGGGCGACTGGTTCTGCGTTGGCGCCTGACACGACCTGGGTAGTCAGAGGCTTTTTGTTTTGGGACTTTGGGATCTGGGAACAGATCCAGACTTTCCAGTTTTAGACACTGTCCGATGTGGGGCTGCCTCGCTGTGGGCGGCCATGTCCCCGTCTGTGTAGAAGTCAGTCTAGGATGAAAGTGGGCTAAGCCATGCAGAGCGAGGGTTCTACTGGCACCCGAGGTCCAGTGGCGCCTGTCGTTCCCACAGTGTGGTTATGGGAAATAAGCCAGAATCCCTAAAATAAATATCCTGCTTTGCTTAAACTAGTTTAACTTTGTCTCTTATGCTGTCAGAGGTCTCAGTGTAGATGGTGAAGGCCCGGAACGAAGGCCCTGAGCGCGGGGCTGGCGGGTGTGGGACACTGGGCGGCAAACTGGACCGAAAACGGTGACCGCTCTGCCTTGGAGAGCGAGCAGATGCTTCGGTAGAGCGGGTGCGAGTGGCTTTCACGGTGGAGGGTGCAGAGGGGCAGGGGCGGGGGCAGACGTGCTGTGCGGAGCCGATGGCAGGCGGGGCCCCTTCGAGCGCTGCCAGCGCTGGGCTGGCTGGGGGGGGGAGGGCTGGTCACAGGGAGCGGTGGGTGGGGCCGGCTGGCGCCTGACTGAGGGGTTAGGCTCGACCCTGCGGGGAGGGCAGGGGGATGAAGGTGGTGCGCGTCGCCGATGAACGGTACCGCAGGTCTCTCGCTGGGTTCCTGGGGAGAAGGAGCACAGTCTAGAAAATCAGGGAACAGGGTTTGGAAGGAAACCAGAAATCACAGTAATGCCATTTCAGATTTAAAGATGTGTATATTTTAAATAGTTGAGAAGCTGTATATGTAGTCTTTTTAGCTATTTTTTTCCTTCCTTGTTAATATATCACAGACCTTTTTCTGTCAGTACATATTTAGGAAAAATTTGATGACTGTATATTTTTCCACTGTGTGAGTGTATCATAATTTCTGTAACCCTCCACCTCTAAGGTTTTTGTACTTAGGACTAAAATTGTGTTGTTTTTAAAATCTTTCTTCATGTTTCTTATGCTTTTGGAGTTGATTCTTAGAATGAAGTTACTGGATCAAATAACATAACTTTTTTGATGATTATTTAAAAGTGAGGTACAGTTTCCATACAGTTCACTCTTTTTAGTGCTCAGCTTCGAATTTTGACAAAGCCAAATAATTGTGTGACTGCCACCACAGGCAGGACACGCAGCAGTCTAACCCCCCAAGTTCTCCTAGGCCCTGTTGTGGCCACCTCCTTTCCCGCCTTTAAGCCTGACAGCTTATGACCTGTCTCGGTCCTACGAGTTTTCCTGTTCTAGAATGTCACGGAAGTGGAATCGCAGTGCAGTGGTTTCTCTCTCCTGGCCCCACGATAGCCCACCCCCCCGCCCCCGAACCACGTTCAGCGCGTCCGCAGGCCGCCCGGAGTCTCAGTGTGCTGCGGGACCAACTTGGCGTTCAAAGTCTCTTTGGAATCTTGTCCGCTTAAAAGTTCTAATTCGCATCATCTAAGTCCGCAGCAGTGAGGCTCTGGGTATATAGTCCATAGCACGGGGACAGGCCCAATTCCTGTCCACCTGCGAGCCTGTGAACCGCAGGACAAAGTTACGCACTGCAGAGTCCAGAGGGGGACAGGCGTGGCACACCAGGCATAGGCCCTCCTGTTCAAGAGTCTCCAGAGGGGAGGAGGCAAGGAAAGTAGGAGTGGAAGAGGAGCCAGGCGGACAGAGGGCCGGTGCGGAGTCCCGGGGTGGGGCAGTGACCCGGGCGAGGAGCGGCAGGAGGTGGGGTCCCAAGGGCAACGCCGGGCCCCTGAGACTAGGAGAGCATGGGACTTGACTTTGAGAGGCCGTCGGAGGGCTGTGAGCCAGGAAGGGCGAAATCGGACTCGGCCACTCGGGGGCGTTCTGCAGCCAGCAGGGGCAGCGGCAGCGGCGGCACCAGGAGCTTGGGAAAGCAGCAGGGTCGGGGCGGGCCCAGACCTGCTGCCCGAACCTCTGGGGGCAGGGCCCGTCGCCTGTGTTCTGCAAGGTCTCTGCGGGATCCTGATGTAGGTTACGGTGTGAGAAGCTCTGGGCCAGCCCCATCGCCCAAGGTCGCTGTGTCTGCCTTGCAGAGGATAGACAGTGGGGAAGGTGAAATGAAGTAGGAAGAGCCGTGGGGATCTAGGTTAAGGTTGCGGTGGCCTGGACCAGCGTGGCTGTGATGGAGGTGGCGAGGTGTGCATTGTATTTCGTAGCTTGTGCTAAGAGAGTGACTCAGTGTGAGAGGACAAGGCAGGTAGGTCTAGACAGGCTTTGGTCTTGGAGGAAGGGAGCTGGAGCCGCCCCGCACTGAGGCGGAGCGGACAGCAGGGGGAGCAGGGGAGCCCTTTCGTTTATTTGGGGCCGGTGTCCTGATGGGTCTAGACGTAGGGGTTGGGAGGAGTTAGATTGACACGAGTGTGCAAGTGTGCGTCTTGGAAAGACAGATGGGATGGGCATTTTGACAGCCTGTAACTGAGCAAATCTGAGCCCGTCCATGTGGCGTTTACTTGGCGCATGACCCTACAGTTAGTGTTGAGGGAAACTGGCTTTTACATACAGGATTCCAGCCTGGCCCCTGGGGACGGGGGTTAGGGGGACGCGTGGGGCGTAGGCTGGGAGCACTCCTGCTGGGAGCCCTGTTTGCCCAGGGGACCCAGCACTTCCCTCCCTCCCCACCAGGCGATAAGCCACAAGCGTGCCCGAAGTTCCCCATGTCCTCATCTGTCCTTAAGCCAGCCGTGTACGGGTTTTTCCACCTCCTCTGGGACGCGCTCCTGTGGGTTTCAGAGTCGCCACCCTCTCGCAGCAGGTCTCCCTTCAGGATCTGGGGTGCGCTGACCTCAGCCTCCGTGTAGTGGTCTGGGAAAACATATGCCGTGTGGCACTGGGTCATGGTGGGGTCCAGGAAGGCAGCGTCCCAGGAGAGCGGCCTCTCCCTGTGCGCTTTGGAGACGCGAGGAGAGTTCAGCACTGCGGGCACCCCCCACAAATCTGCGCCAGGTCAGGCAGGTCCCGGCGTCCCAGCTCCCCAGGCGGACTGCCCGCGGGCCCCTCCCCCCAGCTCCGCCACCTCCCACTGCAGCCCTCGCGTCCCCACCACAGCAGCAGCCCGTGCACGGAGCTGACCGCACCCCGCGCAGCGTCTTGCTGCCCCCTCTCCCAGACCTGGGGGCCCGGATTCGCGGCCCTCCCTCGCAGCCACCCTCCTCCCTACCGGCCACGTGCCCGCTGCGGCTCCCGCTGCTGCGCCCTCCCCAGCTCTTGCCGCCCCCCACCCCCGCCCCAGCCCCCGTCCCAGCCCCCGCCGCCCCCCTAATTTTCAATGCTGGCCGCAGCTTCTGCGTGGCCTAATCTCCGTCCCTCCTGTCCTGGGCGGCTTGTGCTGGTTCCTTGTACTCTTCACCTTCCTTCGGCGGCCTCCTTTAGTCAGGGCAAGAATCCTGCGTGGCACAGGGGCCTCTGCCAGCCTGCCTGTCCTGCTGGCGCTGGAGAAGCTTCCCGCCACCTCCCTGAGGCTCCTAGAGTCGCTTCCCTGTTACCCTGGGGCAGTAGCACGGCCATTAACTTGCCTTTTGTAATGCAGAGTAGCCGTATCATCCGCTCTACACCGCACCCCCATGGGCTGTGGGGAATATGCTCTACTTCGGGGACCCCTTACTGCACCCTGTTACAGGCTGAGCTAGGGCGCCTTGTCTTCCGTGCTGCCTGTGGTGGTGTATCTGTACAAGTTAAGGTTAGACATTTTTTTTTAATCACAAATTATGTGCATTTAATCTGCTTTTAACAGGCATTGGAATAAAGATAACTACAGCTTTCTGCGAAAATGTCAGTTCTGATATCACAGAGTGTAATAAATTATGTAGAAGAAGAAAACATTCCTGCTCTGAAAGCTCTTCTGGAAAAATGCAAAGATGTAGATGAGAGAAACGAGGTAAGACCAAGTTTCTGAAATTCAGATCTTTTCGTAACTGCTGCCTATCCGCCGCTGGGGGCAGGCAGTGAGCCCGGGGTGAAGGCTCAGCGGGAGGGAATACGGGGTTCCCGCTCTTGGTAGTGTTAGCATAGAATTATGACATAGTTTCTTATAGTCAAAGTACTTCAAATTCCATAGTTTGGAATGCACTTGAACTTATGTAAATGATTGTGTATTGCATTTAGGTTTAGGGTTGACTTTTTTGCAGGTGGAATAATGAATATTCAGGAAGTTTGATGGCTAAAATCTAAAATGATTCTAGGAAGCTGTAGAGAGCTTCTAGACCCAATTTTTCTATAAAGAGATTAACCAAACAAAATCAGGAGTTTTTGAAATATTTTCTTTAATGGAGCTCTGGTTTCCTTTCTGAGTTGTTCATTCTACACACCATGGAATTTTAAAGATCCTATCTCTTTAAGAGAGCGTTAAATAGGTCATGTGTTCTGTTTAATAGATAGGGAAGTATAATATATATTTACCACTTTCATTAACTTATATTAGATATTTCTGTTTGACAATACAAGTAAATAAAATGTTGATTTTATTTCATCTTGAATGGCCAAGCTGCAACATTTTATGGACTAATAGACTTTTTATATGAATTTTTAATGGAAAAGTATGTGTTTGATTTATAAAACAGTAAAAATAATTTTGTTTCTTAAAACTGTATTTTCAATGTAGTATAATTCTTTTTTTGCCAGTGGATAATAAGAAATGATTTTAGTTTTCACATATGTATGTATGTGTATATGTGTGAACTTTTCTCTCTTTAGTCCTGATGATTCATCTTATATATATATTATTAAAACCACGTTCTATATCATAATCTAATCGGATTGTTAGAATTTGGTTACCATAGATATCCTAAGATTTTTTTATGTACATTGTGGTAATTCCTTTTCAGAGCCTAGTAATATATTCACTGACTTTGAATGAAATTGCAGTGCCAAAAACATTACTCATGCTGTTGTAAAAAGAAAAAAGTTTTATTTTTTCTTTGACTGTTACGTCATTAGTAAACTGGAAACTTAAGATTTCGAGGGTATTTCTGAATTAAAGAAATTCTGTAAACAGTGCTGAACATCCCTCATGGAAATGTAAGCGTGGTGCACGGAACTGGAGTCGCCGAGCAAGCACCACACCTTTACAAGCTCTTTGTGTCTTTTCTGTCCCCTAGTGTGGCCAGACCCCGCTGATGGTGGCTGCGGAGCAGGGCAGTCTGGAGATAGTGAAGGAGCTAATTAAGAATGGAGCTAATTGCAACCTGGAAGACTTGGTATATGTTGAAATAATTTGTCTTTTTCTTTTCCTTAACTTTGCTGTTTGTTTTACAAAGTGATTGAAAAACAGTAGGTCACAAATTACACTATCAGTTTTAGAGCATCTTTGCCTAAAATATGCTAAGTTAATTTTTTTTAAAAGGAGAGGAGTTTTTACTTTGAAAGAAGGCTCTCAGGACTTTGTGTTTTTATATACAGATGGTGCTGGCTGAATAGGGAGCCCATGCGCATGAATTAAATGCCTGCCCAACGGGGCTCCCTGTAAGGGCGCCTCATGGTCGTGGGTGTCCTTATGTCACCCTTCACCTGCACTGCGGTGGCCTGGAAGCCCTGTTCCCTCCGGGAAGCGCTCCGCTGGGGCGGGCCGCAGTTCACCGGCTCTATTGCCCAGGAATTATTCTTTGGGGTCACACAGCTGAATCTGGCTTTTATCTCCGTTTTAAAATGTTTTTCACATCTCTTTTTAAAAATTTATTATTTTAAATTGATGATTCTTATTGAATGGTCATTTGAATTAAATGACACTCATGAATCAAAGTTAGGAGAGCATTCGCGCGGCCTTCGTTTAAGAAATGAAGAAGGCTGGGTCCCTCACCAGCACGCCGCCTTCCCGCTCACCGCCTCGCTTGCGTCTGGCCGCCGGCGCGCGCCCTGACATCCCGGCAGCGCCGGCGCGCTTCGGCACAGAGCGGTCGCAGGGGTGGCTTTGAGGCTTGGACAGTCGTCTTCTCTCCTGCCCGGAAAACACGCTGTGAGGTTGCGAGTCTGGTGAAAAGACCGAAGCAGCGGCCGTGGCCCACTTCTGCCCCTGTGGTACTGCAGGCAGGCGCGACCTCTCCGGGCCGGGGCGCCCTGTCATTTGGGAGTCGGGAGGCCCAGTCGTGTCAGTTCGGTATGATCGTTTGGTAGGTCCGTTCGACTTTCTTTTTCCTCGGTTTGAAATGTTATTTCTGGTTTTGAAGCGGCAGCATTTGTGTTTGTGTGTTCAAGGATAACTGGACGGCACTCATATCGGCATCCAAAGAAGGGCACGTGCACGTGGTGGAAGAGCTGCTCAGGTGTGGGGCTAACCTGGAGCACCGCGACATGGTACGTGCAGGCCTCGCGCCGCGCCGCCGCTGCGCTGCCCTCGCCCTAACAGCCACCCAGACGTGCGCGCTCTTGGGCTGCGTGCGTGTGGGGTGCTGTCATGATGTTTTTAGGATGTGGGGCTGGGCATTGAAATGACCATCAAGAGTGTCTTAAAACCCAGATGGTATAATACGTCTCGTTTAGAATATTCTTAGTCATCACTTTTAGAGCTTAAAATCCAGAAATCTTGTTAAAAGTTCTCATTACCCTTTAATATGTCACAGTTTTAGAGCTTATGAGAGAATTGTTTCATTTAAGGGGAACTTTAAGAGGGACAAAGAACAGGTTTTAAAATATTTTTTGTCATTTAGTCATAATTTTCATAATGATATTTATAAATTTATTTTTCAAATGTAATTGTGTTCTGTCATGCTAGCTATATACATTATAAGCTTAGCAATATGATTCTTAATTATCTTAGCTCTTTTTGGATCTTGGCATTTGCTTAGAGCACAAAAATAAAGAAAGGGATTATTTCTGGCTTATTTGTTCTGCAAAATGTTTACTCTTTTCAAAAGTTAATTTTAACAGTGGGAGAAAGAAAGGAATTGATCTGCCTTGATATATAAAACATGTATTACTTTGCTGGTGATGTTTTCTGAGTGCGGAGGGTCCGAGTTTTTGAGGAACTGCAGCATTGCACCATCTTGCATGTGACGTTGTATTGTACCTTGTCCTCAAAACAGTCCTGTGGGCCAACGGTGAGTTTTGCGGTCAGCGTACAAGGCTCAGGAGGTTGAGCCCAGAAGGAATGCCCTTTGCCCAGAGTCGCTCAACCACTGAGCAGTCAGGCTGAGTTTTGAACCCATGTGTGCAAGGGAGTTAGGAAGTGTAAAGTATACGTTACAAAGGTGTATGAACTTTGTAAAAAAACTATTCCTTGAACTTTCTAGTTCTTCATATTTCTGTGTCTCCCAAATAATTATCACAACACATTTTAACATTTAAAGAGTCTTTATGTTGGGTTTTAAAACACCAAAAATTGGGGAAACTGAGGACTTTCTCCCTTAGTAGTTCATGTTGAGGGGCCCTGACCTCCAAGGGCTGATGAGTGGCAGGGGCCGCTGGGCTGGAGGGAGGGCTGGCCCCAGGGTGGGCCAAGAGAGGAGGGCCACCAGGCGGGGTGGTCTGGGGTCTGGGAGTTGCCTGGGGCGCAGTGTCAGGACATCGAGTGAGGGTCCTCCCTCGACAGGACCCCAGCGGTTGCCAGACCACAGCTCCTCCTGAAGGCGGCTGGTCCCAGCCTCTTCACTTGGCGAATCGGGGCGTAGTCATCTCAAGGTGGAGTTTGTATCTCCCAGGGTCTTGCAGACGGTAGGACATGGCTCTGCCCAGGAATTCTGCACGTTAAAATATTGGTGTGTGTGAGACCTGGCCCGACTCACATGTCCAGCTCTGCAGTTTGACTGACATTATGTCAGCCTTTTTGTGTCTCTCACAGCATCGGCACTTTTGAAGACGACTTGTCTGGCATTTTTAGAAAGTCTGTCAATTTGGACGGTGTGGCGTTTCTCATGATTAGGTCGAGACTGCTTTGTCGGGAGGGAAGGGTAGGGTGCCACAGAGGGGACAGGCCCTTCTCAGCGCACCACCGCTGGGTACGTGTAGCAGAACGTGTCCCTGGTGATGTTGACCTTCATCTCCTGGTGGAAGCAGTGTCTGCCAGCCTTCTTGCCTGTCACATGACTATTTTTCCCTTCGTGGTTACTAACTGTCTGGGGGAGGACACTTTGATACCATGCGGAATGGCCCGGTTTCGATTAAGCGCTCGGTGATTTGTTGTAGTGCCCAGCAGTGATTCGTGCCTGCGCAGCTGTGCCAGGGGCACCATCCTGGCGGCTTTTCTCTTTCCCTCTGTCCCTCTGCGCTTCCTGACCGCGGTTCTCCTGTGAAGAGGCGCTCCCTCTGTCTCTGTCTCAGTAGATGCGGACTCACGAATATTCCTGTTATTCTGTGAGTTATCATTCAGTTCCCCACCTAGTTTTTGCTCAGGCTGGTCCAGCGTGGGCCATTGTGAGCTTTCGCACCCTTGTAAGATGCCCTGTCCTTTCATTTTTTTACATTTCCCTTAAGCACTTCCTTACTTCCTGGCACTGCAAGGCGCTTCCAGCCCAGGTGCCCGAGTGCTTTCCCTTGCTTGCTTTCCTGAGCGCCAGCCCTGGAATTGGTCTTCCAGGGGAGCTTGGCCCCTGTTACTGGCAGGTGGTGTTCAGAAATCAGCATTGAGGTATTAAGTGTGCTTATGGCTCCTGAGTGGCACTGGTCTCAAAGGAGAGCCATAGGACATGCGCCTAGTTACTGACTCCTGCATGCGCATATGCCTCTGTCTGTGTCTCGCTGTGTGTGTCCGTACGGATACATTTCAAAAAGAGAGCAGGTTGAGCCTGCCAGCTTGGTCCGTTGTAGCCTCCTCCCTTTCCCTAATTTGTGGCTCTTCTCTGATGGTGAGAAACCTGCCTCTCATCATCTACATGATGCATTTGCTTATTTGTTCAACCCTGGAATACAAATAAAGTAGTTTCAGAATTTCTATTCCATATCTGGAGAAAACCAGATTTACCTACTAAGTACAGTGCTTGTGTACGGTTGTTTTTGGTTTTAGCGTTACAGTAGTCAGTTAAAATATCGTTTTCCCAAATTACCTAGGCTCAGCTTCTAAGTAATTACGCAGGGTGTTTGTAGTATCGTTAGATCCATTTGTCCCCGTCTGTATCTTCCCGTGTTCTGGGGGACTTTTTAAAAATTTATATACAGTAGAGTTCACTCTCCGTGGCTTGTGCACTCTCTGGTTCCTGACAAACGCGTGACGTCCTGTGCCCGCCCCCGGCCCCCACGGGTCTGCGCCGAGCAGTGTCGCCTCGTCATCTCGTCACCTTGTCACCTGTGCCCTGTGCTGCTGCCGTGTAGTCAGCCCCTCCGTCCCTCCCCGGCCCCTCGCCGCCACGGATCTGGTTTCCTGTCTGCAGTTTTGCCTTTTTCGTTTTAAATCTCTTTTTTTTTAGTGATGATAAAACAAAATCAGAAGAAGTAAGTGATTTATGTTTCGGAACCAACTGTGAATTCGTCCAAATACTGATTTTAAGAAAACAAAACATTTGTTTCTTACTATAATTTTATTATATTGGTCTCTTTTATTGAATTGCATTATAGCTAAAGAGAAAATTACTCAAAGAAAGAACGTTGCCTCTGTAGCACAGAAAACAGAAAGTTATCATGCCGCTAGTTCACGCTGATGGCTTCGCCTGCCCTGGACGCCCCGCTCCACAGGTCACTCACGGCCTGAGCGCCCTGTGCGGCCCAGGACCCACGCGGAGCGCTGAGTGCGCAAGCTGTGTGCGGTCTCCGGGTCCCTCTCCGGAAGTCTAGACTTGAACAAGGAGCAGACTCTCTCAGGACAGAAACGTTTCTGAAGAAAAATTTTTAAACAGCTAAGATAGATCTTGGAGAAGGTCCGACGTGAATGCTCCACATTTCAGTTTTCATGATAGAGTACTATGTTTGGAGAATTATTTCTGGACTTAAGGGATTGGAGTTCTTTTAGGTACTGTGGTATACAGGGCCCAGCAGACGTAAGGCCTGCTTGAGTGGTTGATAGGGTAATAATATAGGTGTAATAATTCATAGTTTTTCTTTGAACATTTCACCTAAAATGTCATAGGGTATGCTGGAGTGTGATAGTGTTATGTTACAGAATTACATGCTTAAGATTTTATAATAAAAGATTTTGTAATAAGGGGCGTTATTCATGTCGGACCCTGTATTTCTCTGGGGAGCTTGGGAATTTAAAACTACATAGCAGTGCCTTCATAAAGCGGCGGTTTAATAAATAATAGTCACAGAAGGAACTTCAGTAATGGTGTTTCTGTGCTTGGAGACGCTCCAAAATTTCATTCCCGCCACCCTTGGTTTCAGGGAGGATGGACAGCGCTTATGTGGGCGTGCTACAAGGGCCGCACGGGCGTGGCGGAGCTGCTGCTCTCTCAGGGGGCCAACCCCAGTGTCACCGGCCTGGTAAGTGCCCAGAGACGCTCGTCGGTAGGGTGGTGGGGTGCTCTCCCGGGGAGCTGGTTACACCTCAGACCTGACAGTGAGTAGAAATGACCTAGATGGCGGACCTTTTTATTTTTTTTTAAATTATTTATTTATTTTTTTGGTGGGGGAGAGAAAGAGAGGAAGAGAAACATTAATGTGTGATCAATACATCGATCTGTTGCCTCTCACATGCCTCCAACTGGGGATCTGAGCTGCTTCCCAGGCATGTGCCCTGACTGGGAATCGAACCAGTGACCTTTCAGTTTGCAGGCCGGTGCTCAGTCCACTGAGCCACACCAGCCAGGGTGACCTAACTCTTCTTGAAGTGAAGAATGAAGAATGTGATTTTTTTTTTCTTAAGCTCAGCTTATTTCTCAATTTTTATCAGCAAGAAGGAACTCCTAGAGCTTAATGTTAATTATAACCATATAACTTTTCAAAAAGGAGTTTTAAATCCTAAAGTCATCTTACCTGTTTTCTGTGGGCACGTATTCTTAATCTAAACTTTTTAAAAAACAAAATAGACATTTTCTTGTGCCTTCTTACAGACGGTGACATGTACATTACTACTGTGTGTGACACTTGATCTCCCACTGCAGATTAAGAGACTTTTATTGGTGGAATCCTTTTGTGATATATGTATATCAAATCATGTTGTACACTTTAAATATCACGATTTTACCAGACATAGCTTAATAAAGCTGAAAAAAAGAAACGTATCCAAAGTAATGGAAGGATTATGTAAGAAAAGTTTCACATTTCCATTGCTAGACTTGCCTGTTAGCCAGATAATTACATCAGATGTGTTCGGTCTGTAAAAAACTAAACGTGCTAAGAATATTTATTTATTTAAGGTTGAATGCAACTTAGCTGTCAATTACGTATTATGAGTATCTTGTGTTTTTAAAGTAGGGCATGGTCTATAACTTGATTTTTAAAATATTGCTATGTGAATGGTCTGAACTTTGATTTTTAAAATATTACTTTGTATTATCCTATTTGTTATTTACTCTTCTTAGTAAACGCATGCTGCAAATATCCACCTAAAAGATCTTTCCTCCCCTCGTTCCCTGCCCCCCTCCCACCCTTCTCTTTCTGTACCCCCCGCCCCCCAGCAGTACAGCGTCTACCCAATCATTTGGGCTGCAGGGCGAGGCCACGCAGACATAGTGCGTCTTCTCCTGCAAAACGGCGCCAAGGTCAACTGCTCCGATAAGGTAGGTGGGCTGGGCCTTTCCGGTTCCCCTTGTGTGACGGCCACTTGGTGTGTCTCAGCTGCAAGTGTTTTCATACCCCCTCATGAGGCTGTGGGGCACGTCTTCCAGGAGTGCGTATTAATGTGTTTTGTATAGATATATGCACCTCGTAGGTGGGCCCTGCTGTGGTTTTTTCTATCCTGTTCATCGTTCTCAGGAAAATACACAGGGAGGATTCGCTGTCTTCCTTATTTGAAATTTTCTGTTAAAGCTTTTCTTCCTTCCTTTAGTCTTGTCTGCTTTTTGTGTTGTTGCCTGAGTGATCTTTCTAAGATTCAAGTTACCGCTCTCTCATGCTCAACACCGTGAAGACGCCAGCGCCTGGAATGACATGCGAAGACTGGCCCTGCCCCGCTTTCTGCCGCTTCTCTTGCTCGCTGTGCCACACGGCCACCTCATGAGCGGCTTCTTACGAGGGTAGCTTGTTGGAAAAGCTTCCCAGGATGGGAGAGACCTAAACCAGTTTGTAAAAAGGGAGAATAAAGACAAGACTGATGACATGGGAAGAAATCACTGAGTGTGTTTCTAGATGAATCCAGGAAAGTAGGATCCGCAGTACACGTACAGGGATAAATTCATTGGGGTCAGAAGCCAGGATTTGAGGAGAAACGGAGGTGTTGGGGGAGCTCTGAGTACCGTCTGCCAAAGTACCTGCCAGATGTCAGAGCGGGGGAGGCCTTGGCGATGTCCGTCCAGGGGCCTCTGGAGCCTCTGTGGCGATGAGGCTGAGAGGGGCTGGTGAGGAGGGGGAGGGGCCAGGCTGACGAGGTAGAAGTGATAGCGGAGCCGCTGGTGTCGCCCGCCCGGCGCTCTGAGAAGAGGGAAAGCGAAGTGCAGCAGGCGTTCCCAGGGTGGGCGCTCCATCATCTGTCTTTAAAGATGCTGGAGGTTTTTGATTTGTAGACCTAGGGCAGGCGCTTCATTCAGCCAGGGAACACTCTCTCCATGAAGGAAAGAATTTAATTCCGAGGGAAGATAGATGTGAGAACCGGGGAAGCTCCTCCAGGATCCCTTGGTCGGTCCGAGCCTGCTCCAGGGCCGTGGCCTCGACCCCTGCCCACCTCCCGAGTCCCGCCCCGTCGCCAGGCTCCCGCGTGGAGGGCTGTACCGGCAGCCTTGGGTTCCCGCCGTCCGGAGCCCCGTCCAGCGGCCAGGGGCCCAGGGCTGCAGCTTCTCACAGTTTGGTTCCTGGGACGCTTGATGTCCAGGGCTCTCCAGCCTTTTGGCGTCTTGGGGCCATATCAGAGGAAAAAGAATTGTCTTAGGCCACACATTAATACACAATACTAATGAAAACTTACGAGAAAAAAAAAGGATTTACGTAAATTTACGGTTTTGTGTTGGGCTGCATTCCCAGTGGCTGTCCTGGGCTGCACGTGGGCTGCGGGTAGGACTCCCCTGGGCGGGCTGCCTTGGACAGTAACCACCAGCCGCATAAGCTATTTAGACTTAAATCAGTTAAGAAAAATAAAATTACTCAGTTTCCTATTCAGACTTGCCACATTTCAAGGGCTCCAAGGCCGCGGGTGACGGGTGGTGGCTGCTGTGGCCGTCGCAGAATTTCAGAGCCCTCCCGTCAGCACAGGAAGCCCCCTGGCGGGGCCGCTGCAGAGCGGGCTCTCGCGGAGCGTTCCTCCACGTGCAGTCTCCCAGGCAGGAAAGGTCGCTGTGGGCGTGCATCTGCCTCGTGCCTCCCAGGCTCCCCAGAGGTGAAAACAGTGCTGTTTCACGCGCAGTTTATATTCTTTGATGCCTTTTGAATCACATTTCAGCAGAAGGTGCTTTCCAGAGCAACGTCTAGGCTGCAGTTTCCTTTGTCAAGTACAGGGCGGACTTGGGGCGCGGTTAAGCATGCGGCCTCGGCTCCGCATGGTGTCCGGGCCGGGCCGGCTCCAGCTCCTCTGTGCTTCGGGACTTCGCCCGGGACTGACTGCTCAGGGCCTCGTTTGCCTTTGTGGGCAAGTGCGACGCTGCCCCTCTTGCTTATTCTAGCGATAGGGGTCACAGGAGTGCACACGCACAGCTAACTGCTTCCTTTGCGCATAGTCAGGCTGTCGAACTTCCCATTGTATTTCATGAGATGTGGGAAGCAACGAAAGCGTGTTGAAAATTAGAGTGTATGACTTTACGATGGAAAAATTGTCAGTGATTATAAAAGGTAAAGTTGGTTAAAAGATATTTCCTGCTGTGGTCAGTCATCTATTCCGGAGAAATAAAATGCGGAAAATAGGATTCAGCTGCGAGTAGCGAGCGTTATGCTTGGTGTAAGCGGTGATCTAAGAACACTTGATGTATGATTTTCATCAACGTTCGCGTTGAAAGCTAGTTTCTTTTCACATACTTTTGGTCGTAGTTTTAAATGTATCGTTTGTTTTCATAGTATGGGACCACCCCTTTGGTTTGGGCCGCACGGAAGGGCCACCTGGAATGTGTGAAACACTTACTGGCATCCGGAGCTGATGTGGATCAAGAAGGAGCTGTAAGTACCTTTCCTATGTTACCCCTGGTAATAGAGACGTGTTTTTAGTTTTAAGAGAGAGAATATTTTCCTTAGCATATAGCTAGAGAAATGTCCTACAGTTTGTAAATGATACTTAGGAAAACAGGCATTTTCTTGCTGTTATCCTCATGAATATGTTATAGATACTATATACTCTACATTTTTGCTCTTAAGGATCTATTGCTAATGCACACAAATTTTGGGAGGCTAAAATTATAAACAATAGTGTTCAGTGATCTTAGTGTAAATTAAAATGGTCTCAAATAGTTTGAAATACATATATTGTGGAAAAAGTTTTGTATTAAAATTTACATATTTACATTTAAAAAATAATATTGTCTTTTTTTGTATATTTTTAGTTGAGTTATTTTTCTTCTTCAATAGACAGATTTAGAAATCAGTGGTCAAGACCTAGAGAGCTGTAGAATTGGTACAAAAATGCAACCAGCTCACGGTTACTAGTTGCTCCTTGAGCCCCCGCTGTGGAGCCGGCCAAGTGACGGACATGTGGGAGGCTGGAGAAGCTCCCTCCCCCCCCGCCCCACTGCTTATTCCTTGAGATGATAGAGTGTGGTCACAAGAAATGACATTATACATAAGGAACAATGAACACAGACAGTCATTTGTATAACTAAGTATTATGTGGGATGGATTGTAAAGGATTCTGAGAAGAGAGACACCAGATCTCTGGCTGCAACTTTAGAAAAGTGAGCTCCAAATCATCCTTGGCTTTCTAGCACAATGTCAACTAGGTTCTCTTATTCTCCATATTGGCACAAGCTGCCAAATGCTTCACCTTCAAGGAGTAGGTGACATTTTAGTGCCGGGCGGGGACTGTGTGACTCATAGACAGCACGGCAGTCTCGCCGTTGACTTTCTTCCTTTCTGGACGGTTTATCCAGTGGAGGAGCGGCTGGTCTGCTCGGGGAGTGACGGCCTGGGAAAGGCCAGGCTGGCTTTCGGTGCGAGGGGCGGGGGCCGCGCTCTGGGGGCTGAGCGGCCAACTGGACTGGTTCTCTAAGTAAAGGGTGTGACATCCCAAAATAAAGCAAAACCTGAAGAAGTCACTCCGTACTTCTAGTAATGAGGCAGGTTCTTCTATTAGGTGATTCACTGTTGTAAATTAGAAGTGCAGTTTTTAAAAGAACCTCTCAAATAAGAGTTTTTGAAAACAGGGTTTTCAAAACCCTGTAGACGCAGTGAAAGATAGACTGTGTTGTGCTTTTATTCAAATACCCTGTGGCCATCAAGTCGTCGTTCTCAGGTTTTTCTCATAGATTTTATTGTAAACCACTCTTTGGTTGGACCCTGAAAGACCTTACTTGGGATTATTTAGTTTACAGTGAGTTTAATTTGGAATCAGCCTGTCAAATGCCTGATACTTCATTACGTCGCTGAGAGGGTTCATTTGCTGTAAATGAGGCCAAGTTCAGATTGTCATTTAAAAAATTGAAGGTCATGACAGTCCCGTTGACTCAAGAGAATTAATCTCTTATCAAAAATAGAAAATATGCTTCCTGGCCATTTTTGGTATGTTTCTGGTTATTTATATTGACACGTTATTATCAGAAACAACTGCTAATAAGCCACCTTCTTGAAAACATCACTTTATTTTTATGGCATAAATCATGTTTTCTAGAATATACTAATTTTTTGGGCTTGTTTCTATGTTTAGAATTCAATGACTGCACTTATTGTGGCTGTAAAAGGAGGCTACACCCAGTCAGTAAAAGAAATTTTGAAGAGGAATCCAAACGTGAATTTAACAGATAAAGACGGAAACACAGCTTTGATGATCGCCTCGAAGGAGGGCCACACCGAGATCGTGCAGGACCTCCTCGACGCCGGGACTTACGTGAACATACCCGACCGGGTAAGCCGCCCGCCTGCCTGCCCGCCCGTGTGTCTCCCGGTGGCGGCGCTGCTGGAAGAGCGCCGGGACTTCACCGCCCTTCACCGTCCTCCAGCACGGCATGCGTTCCTTTTAACTTGAGTGTTATTTCCACCTTTAGGACTAGTAAGTTAAACACTATTCAGTCATTGTGAAGGATGATCTTTTTGACTTTGTCAAATGCTGTTGTCATCGAGAACGTTACATGTGCTGTCGGTCTGTACTGTCCTTGAAGCGTGTTGCTCCAGGTGTCCTTCATGGCCTCTGGGCTTCCAGTACCCCCTTACACTTAGAATTTCCCAGCTCTAGCCCTTGCTCTAACCTCTTCTCAGAAGCCTGCACTTGTGGACACGACTCCATGTGAACCCTCTGCTTTAGTGGGCTTCTTAAACTTCTGGCAAAAGAGACGTTTTGTTTGTTTCTTCCAAAACCTGCTTTCCCGCGGCCCTTTGCCTCAGTGAGTGGCGCCGCCTCCATCCTGTCCTGAAGCCCGAGTCCTGCGCGCGAGCCTCGGCTTCTCTTCTGACCACACCCAGTTCCCCAGCAGGCTCTGTAGGCTCTGCCTCCAGCGTGTCCTCCGTTTGTCCACGCTCCTTCAGCTCCAGAGCCGCCTCCCTAGGCCAAGCCCCCGTCTCCCATTGTGTCAGCAAAAGGATCTTGACAGGGTTCTCTCGTGGGCTCTGATTTACTCTCCACGCGGCTCTCTTTAAAGCAGTGAGTCCACGCGTACTCCTTTGTTTAAAGTCACCCGGGCTTCCTCTCGCACGTCTGCAGTGTGTAAACCCCATGTGCCGCTGTCCCTGCTGGCCCTCCGCCCTCCCGCTCTGCTGCCCTGCCCGCTCCTCCTGACGCCTGTGCGGCAGCGCGGCCCGGGCGCGTCCGTCCCCGCTCTTGCACGCACTGGGCTTGTGGCTGCTCTGGGGCCTGCGCCTCAGCCGTGCCCTGCAGGGGCGCCGCCCTTCACGGCCACCCCAGGGCTGGCTCCGCCTCGCGACTCCGTCCCAGCCCAGCTAGTACCTCTGCAGAGGGGTCTCCAGCCACCAGTCCACAGGAGCCACCCAGCCGCTTCCTGTCACGGCTCTGTATTTTAACCTATTTCTGTGGTATTCATCTGGTTTTACATTTGTGTTTACTTGGTGTTGCCTGTTTCCTCTGGGCTGTCCATTCTCCCAGAGGTGGGACCTTGCCTTTCTGTGTCCCTAGCCCTAGAGCAGTGCGTGGCACATCGTAAGCAGTGAAGTATCTGTAACCTTTTATTAATTTCTGGTCTGGAACCATTGTAATGATGCTGGCATTCTCCACTAGCATTTGTCTGCCTTGGGTTATTTCTGCTTCTGACGTAGTAGTTAAGATGCTAACCATGGTGCTAAACTTAATAATCCTCACGGACCTGCGTCTTGATTTGGAGCCCATGGGGCCCACTCAGGACCGCGAGGAGCACAGCTCACGGCTTAGCCAGTCCAGTTACAGCTAGCACGTAATTTGGCGGTTAGAAAAATGTCCGTTGCTGAAATAGCCATTCCCATGATTTGAAGCAGTGGGAAGATGTAATTAATAATGATCGTTGCTTGGTGAGTATAATTTCAGGGCAGAGAGGAGCCCTCAGAAGGTAATGGGCACCCCGGAGCCTGTTGTGGGGGGAGCCAGCCTTCCACGCCGTGCCCGCCGCGCCAGGTGGGCCGGGATGCGGCTGCGGGCCCGGGCCTGCCTCCCCCAGGCAGCGCAGCTGCAGGCCCGGGCGGCCCGGCCTCGCGGCTCTGGCTGTAGAAGCCACGGCTTCTGGTGAGCAGCATCGTCCTGGGGGTTTGGGCCGCGTCATTTCTGGAATGTTCTTCTGGTTTCCTGACAGCCGTGGTGTCATTTCTTTAAAGTACATTTGTAACGGAAGGTCACACTCAAAGAGAACAGCTTGTTCTGGGTGACTTGTCTTTCTGAACTTTGGTCCTGGAATTTCAGAGCCTGCACTTTGAGGTTTGTAGTCTTCTGTGTCTCTCTCTAGGGGATTAGCTAAAATTCTTCTTTGCTTAGAGACACGTTTTCTCCAAGAAATTTTCAGGAAAAACCTGTGATACTAGTACACGACTAACCTTAACTTCTCACGGGCGTTCACTTGTTCCCGTCCTCACTTCACCTTGGTTCTTGCCGTCCTAGAGTGGAGACACGGTGCTGATCGGTGCTGTCAGAGGCGGTCACGTGGAGATCGTCCGGGCGCTTCTCCAGAAGTACGCGGACATAGACATTCGGGGGCAGGTACGTGGGACTGGGGGGCCGTCGCCGTGATCTCTGAGCCTAACGGGCAGCGCGTCAGGGCCGCCCTTGAGGCCGTCCTGCCAGCTTGTTTATGGAGAGAGACTTGTAAACCTTAATACGGTTAATAAATGCCTTATCGTTGCGTATCACTGCCATTGCTGTGGGGTTGCTGTATTAATGTTGTTAGATCTTTCATATTTACCGATAGCAGTTTTTAAATACTGTGCCTTGCATGAGGCGATTGTGAACTTTCTCTTTCTGGCGCAGGACAATAAAACCGCTCTGTACTGGGCTGTGGAGAAGGGCAACGCGGCCATGGTGCGGGACATCCTGCAGTGCAGCCCGGACACGGAGATATGCACGACGGTACGGGCGCCCCTGCGGCCCCAGCCCTTCCGGGTGCCGGACGGTGGTCCTGCTCACCTTTCTATTTGTCTTGATATTAGAATTACACTGTTTTTTACTGCTGATGTTCTATATCAAGTTGAGGAACTGTATCCTTTCAGATTTGTATCATATCCTGTGAATACATATTCACAGGAAAACATGGTGTGCAATTTATTACTTTAGGTGACTGTGTTCAGAAAATAGTGTCAGCTGTTGGTCCGCTGTGGACGGGTCACTTGCCCAGGATTCTTCCATGCTCCCGTGCGTGGAATGCAGAACCCATTTGCTCTGCAAAGGCCACTGTGAGTGGCTGTGGGCTCCCAAACCAGCCCCTGCTGGTCCAGTCTGGGTTGCTCAGATCTTGTGAAAAACACAAAACCATGTCAGACTCAGCTGTCAGCTGGCTGTGCTTGGCCTTCTGTCTGTGGAATGGCTTTCTGCGGGGAAGACGTATTTGGAGTTCTACAGTGAGAGACGGCGGGAACGCCTAACGAAGGACGGGAAGGGGCGGGCCACGCCGCCAGTAACACAAGGCTCTAATCTGTGAGAGGTGGGGACAGCGTTTCCTAAGCCAGTGAGAAACCGGTGATGGTGACTCAGTGCCCCGGGGCAGAGAGGTTCCTGGGCCACCTGCTGCTCTGCAGGTGGTTCCTTGATAACCTTTTCTTTCCCCTCGGGTTGTGTGTGTGTGTGGGCCACCGTAACCCCCTGCCGCGTCTGACCAGGCTTCTCTCCTAGTCCAGCTCTGAGCTATGCTCTCCTCTCATTTCCTTTCGTTTTGAAAGGAATCATGAACTCTTGAGATTTTCTAAAAGCACGCTGCTGTGTCAGATTGTTCTCCCTGCCACACGCAGGCATTTCAGAAAATAGAAGCAGCGCAGGTACAGACGTTGCAAAACTCTGGACACTGGCCTGCCCGGACAGGCAGGCGGCTGGGCTGCGGTTGGCGGGGGCGTGGTGAGGAGGGGCGTTGTCTCGGGAGGCGCTGCCCCAGCCGTCGGCGTGGGACTTGGGATGGTGGCGGCAGCAGCAGCGAGGGCCAGGGCCCTGTGGCCGCAAGTGGCCAAGATGGCAAGGGGTCATGTCCCATGCTCAGCTGAGAGACATCAGATTATTTTGATACAGAAGAATGGTTTGAAAGAAAAAGCAGTTTTCTGTTAGTTTTTACAACTGTGTTTTCTTGGGGACATTTCTAACATAGACTGGTACCAGAGGCAGGTAATTGAATCCTTACACATGCGTTTATGTGACTTGAACATTTAGGACACTATCAATCTGGCAAGTTTTCTTGTGTGCCCACAGGATGGTGAAACGCCACTGATAAAGGCCACCAAGATGAGAAATATCGAAGTGGTGGAGCTGCTGCTGGATAAAGGGGCTAAAGTGTCCGCCGTGGACAAGGTGAGGCATCTGTGTGCGGGGCGCTGTTGGAAGGTCGCTGGTAGCCTGGCCTGTACATTCACTGGGCAAGGTGTCAGGCGGCAGTCGTGCAAGGAGACGGTGCTTGCCGGGGCCTCTCCGTCGGATTCTAGCGCCGTGGCACCTCCCTAGCGGCTCCACGGCGTGCGGAGCAGCGGGTGGGCTCTGTGTACCTGCAGGGAAGCTGCTTCAGATGAACCCGTGCTGCTTGTGCAGAGGGGGCTGCCGTGAGCCCCGTATGGGCGGATGTCACTGTGGCTCCAGCTTCTTGCAGATGCACAGCAGGGAAGACCTCAGAGGGGCTGGAGGAGATAGACTCTCAGAGCAGCTGGCAGCACCGTTCCAGCAGGAGAGGGGGTTCTGTCCCGTGTCCCCGCCTCTGACATTAGTGGGGCTGTGGCTTGGGTCGTGAAGCTTCCAGACAGAAGGGGGGAGCCTGTGAGCCAGGACACAGGCTGGCGAGGGAGAGCGGCTGGCGCCCGTGGGCAGTGAGTCCTGCCGTGACAGGTGGTCGCTGGCCTGTGCTGGGAGTGGGCCCGGGCCGGGAGGAGCTGCCGGGAGGATTGTCACGCCTCCCCCTCAGTGGCTTCAGGGGAGGGAGGAGAGTGGCCTGCACTTCCGAGGGCTGCGGGAGAAGCTGCCCGAGGAAAGCTGGGCAAGGAGCAGGAGAAAGGGAGTGCGGGGGAAAGCGGAGATAAAAACCCACATTATTCGTGTACTTCACGTGAAAAATATGAAGAGTTCAGATTTTCCATTATTTTATAGAAACAGGACAGTTGTCACTGCATATTCTGTATTACAAAGTATGAAGGTTCGCGTTTTCTGCCACTGTTTTGCAGAAAGGGGACACTCCCTTGCATATCGCTATTCGTGGGAGGAGTCGGAAACTGGCAGAACTCCTTTTAAGAAATCCCAAGGATGGAAGGTTGCTTTATAGGCCCAACAAAGCAGGCGAGACTCCCTACAACATCGACTGCAGCCATCAGAAAAGCATTTTAACGCAAATATTTGGAGCCAGTAAGTACTGGGTTTTGTTTCTGACCAAGCTTTTAAAAAATGAATGTTCTATGAAAAAATTTGGAGACCAACAGCAATTCTGCATCTGTCACTTAACTGGAAATCACAAAGGCTGAGAAGTCACTGCTTTGTTGTGGACAGATACCCCTTCTGGACTGAGGCTCTTTCGCACATGCTGCACTTTCTCAATGAGGCGCCCAGAGGGGCCCGTCAGCTCGTGAGACCTGAAAACCTAGCCCCTCTCTCCAGACCCCTCCGCGGCAGTCTCCCGCGTAGACCTGGGCTTCCAATAGACGCCGCGGGGCTCCGAGGGTGGCCCAAGCCGCTGCGGTTGTCTGCCTTCGCAGGTGCTGGGCCACCCGTGGCTGGCCTGTTCTGTCCCTGTCCCCGCGAGGCGCTCTCCTGTTCACGTCCTCTCTGTCCCCGGCTCCTGACGCAGCCGCCGCCTCAGGATGCTCTGCCTGACCAGACACAGGCCCTGCCTTATGAATACCTGAGCGTGTGTGTTTACATTTTCTTCTTTAATACGTGCTGTATGTGGCTTGTTATCCTGTTTCTTTTAGAATTTTCTCCCTTCCAGATTCCCAGCTGCTCAGGGCCCTGACTGTTTCTTTTCTTTGCGTCCTCTGGAACATCTAGCATGATGCCTTGACGGTTGGGCTAAAGTCGTTTTTGATAAGAATGCACATGAGAATGCAGGCACTCACATGCGGTCTTTTGAAATATGGGACAACTCTAGTAAAACAATTTTTACTTGAAAATTAAGAAAGAGGTATGTTATCAGTGTATCTAACAAAGAAACCAACAGGCAAGAGCAGAATCCTGCCACCTTCTGCTTTAGCTTCTCACTGCATATTGTTTGTAAAGAGGATTTTTGTATTTTAAAACATTTTTAATTATTATAATACATACTCATTAAAATTCAAGAATGAAGACAAATATAGTGTCAATAGTACAAATTTCCTCACTCCCTATAGCCTGATTCATAATTGTTTGAATGACACTTCAGAATTTTTTTGCATTTCTAAAAATGTTCTATACCATATCTATAAATTTAAAGAAATCAGGTCATACCATATTAGGAAAGTTTTTAATAATGAACTATATCATATTTTAATTGTTGTATAATCTTTCACTTGTATTTTAATAGTTCATTCAGTTCTCTATGGATGAATATTTGGTTTGTTCTCCTGTTAAAAGCTGGTGCTGCAATGAACGTCTTTGTACATACATCCATTAACCCTTATTTTAGGATTATTTCCTTGGAGTAAGCTCCCCGGAGTACAGCTGGCAGGGTGGTGCATGCTCGCAGCTTCAGTAGACTTTTAAAAATGCCCGGCGCCCCCCCCCCCCCATGGCCGTCCGTGCAGGGCTGTGCTCTGCACCCTGCTCGCCAGGCCGGGGAGGAAAACTCAAGTTAGTTTTCACTGTGAGGTTATTGTGAGGGTGCAGCCCTTTAATATGTCCTTGGCTATTTGTAGTTTACCATTTTTCTCTTTGTATCCATGTTTTTCTTGAGTTTTCAGTATTTTTAAAAATGGATTTTACGTGTCTTTGCACGTTATGGATGTTGGTCCTGGATCTAGCCTGCCTGTTGTACCCTCTCCCCGGCTGCTGCGTTATGGCACTGTGTGTGTATTCCCCATCCAAAAGTCGCACGCTTCTTTTTAGTTGGGCAGTCTTTTCCTGCACTTCTCGCTTTAGTATTCTGTTGAGAAAGGCTTTTTCCAGTGGAAGATTTTAAAAGTTTTTTCTCCTAGCATTTTTATGGTTTTACTTTTTACATTTAATTCTTTAATGTTTCAGAAACTTATTTTTATTATACAAGGTACAAAATGTATGGAGTTAAAATTTTATTTTTTAAAAAATGGATGTCTAACTTCTTAACACCACTTACTAATTCATACTTTTCCACTGATTTGAAATGTACTTATGTTCATATCCTATGTGAGTTCTATGGTGTTTTAATTGTTGTATCTTTATGGACAACTACTTTTTGGTCTTCTTTAAATTTTTTTCTAAGCTACTCTTACATGTTCTTGCTTTCCAATTTTTCAAAACCTTCTCATGGTTTTTTTTCTTTTTTATTGGAATTGCCTTAAAGTGATAGATTAATTTGGGGAGAATCGATAACTTTAAGTCCTTGAACCATAGTGTCTCCTTTTCTCTGATTAACTGTGATTTTCTTCAGTAACGTTTTGAAGGTTTATTTCCGTAGCTGTTACACATATTAAACTTGTTCCTGTGGACTGCTTTGTGTTTCAGTCATATTTCACTGATTCTAAAGTCCGCCCTAGTCCACATTTCAACACCTCCGAAATGGGAATCTCTCTTGTAGCCGATGGATAAGAAAGCATGTATCACAACTTGGCATCGTTTTTCTTATTAGTTGTGCATAATCATGATGCACCTTAAGATCAGTGGGTATCTTAAGTCCTGTGACATGTGGTGTTTAAGAATATCCGAACCTGTGTTTACACAGGTCTAACCATTTGGAATAAGTGTTTTCCTCTAATGAAATAAACAGTCGATGAGAACGGACGTCTCTCTCTCATCCCAGGGCACTTGTCTCCCACGGAAACGGACGGGGACATGCTGGGCTACGACCTGTACAGCAGCGCCCTGGCGGACATCCTCAGCGAGCCCACCATGCAGCCGCCCATCTGCGTGGGGCTCTACGCCCAGTGGGGCAGCGGGAAGTCCTTCCTCCTCAAGAAGCTGGAGGGTAAAGGGCCGCCGGCGCAGTCCGGCGGTTGTATTTTTTATGAAGTAAAGAAAAAGAGAGGTTTACTTGTGGGTACATGTGTTGCACAGTTTACTAAATTGAAAGGGGCAGGGCCTGACTCCCCTCGAGCCGACCTCGACGCCCGCCTGAGCCCGCTTTCTACAGCCAAGGCCCGGTTGTGCAGGGGCCCGGTGGGCCCCCGGGGGAGCGGGGCTTCTGCCCCCGCGGCGTGTGGCCCCACGCCCGGCGCCCTCGCCTGCCGGCCGCCCGCCCGCCCTGCCCTCGGGCACAGACCGGGCCCTTTCCCCGGGGCCGTCCTGTACCGGGAGCTCCCTAGACAGCTCCGCGGCCTGCTGCCCGGCACCCACGTGCGTTCCTCGGCGAAACCTCACTTACTCTTCAGGGGCAGGTTCCCGCACTGCCTGTGACGTTTTTACCACGTTTTGTAGACAGAACGACTTGTTTCAGGCTCCTCCGGGCTCAGCACACAGCTGCGAGGGCTGCACCGCTCCGACGTGGCCAGCGGGAGGGGCCGAGGAGGGCGCCTGAGAGAGGGGCGGGGGCGGAGAAGGCGCAGAGCAAAGGCACGACGCCAGTTTTACACCTGGAGACAGTGCCTTGCTGCCTGTATAACGCAAACCGTAACACCTAAGCACCAGCAGAGCCTCCACAGATGGCCGTGTCTGAAAAAGGATTCTGTGCATCTTCCACAGGGAGCCGGAGAGGGGGTCTGACGGGCGGGCGCCCCCAGGGAAGCTTAGGTTGGTGGGAGGAGAGCGTTGGTTCCAGTGGCTGCGGAGCAACGCTTCATCCAGGGGCTTAATGAGGGCCCCTGTTCTAGTGAGGAGAGTTCGGGTCGAGTTGGGAGCTGCACTTCTTAAGGCGGGGGTGGTACTTCCACCCTGTTTCTCCTTCAGATGAAATGAAGACGTTCGCAGGGCAGCAGGTCGAGCCCCTCTTCCAGTTCTCGTGGCTGATCGTGCTGCTGACGCTGCTGCTGTGCGGTGGGCTCGGCCTGCTGTGCGCCTTCGCCGCCGACCCCGCGCTCGGCGTGGCAGTGTCCCTGAGCTGCTTGGCTCTCCTGTACATCTTCTTTAGTAAGTCTCTGCTTTTTATGTCTTTGAGAGATGTGGAAAATGCCAAGACTCGTTGTTTTACTTAAAAGATTCTCTCTCTCAAAACCTGTTTTTCATAATTAAGTTAGATAGTTGATCTTTCTGCTGTTTTATAAGCTGGCCTAAAGGAACATTGCCCACAGCCTGGCTGGAGTAGCTTTAAAAACTAGTGCTCCGCTTGTTAACATTGAAGCAGAACTCTAGTTTATTGTACTTAGCTTTTTATATGTTAATTAATGACTTATATTTAAGTCTTTTTTGAAAATAAGTCTTTATAGCCATCACTGGCATGCTCTTGAACATTTTGACCATGATTGTAATTACTTATTTTATATAAAAGCCAAGTTAAAATACAGTCCCTGTCCTTGGGGTGTCTTCAGTTGTAAGAAAGGGAATAAATTTATGGTGGGAGCAACTGGTGACTTCAGCAGCCGCAAATAGTGATAAAGCCAAATTATTTACATGGAATCTGAACTAGGTGATGTTTCTGTCTAAGGCATTGTCTTCCTTACATCATAGTTTAGTCTGTTGACTTCCCAGTTTTCATACACCTTCTGTGTAGTGGTGGAGGTTAAATAATTGGGGGACTTTTTCAGGTGTAGTTAGGAAATGGCATAGGCCATGAAAAATTATGTAAACCTATCTGTCGTACTTGATATTTGTTTGGAGAAAAGAGGCTGCTTGACTAATGATTCTTTCGGATAATTATTTTTTTAAACTGTGTGTTTTAGTTGTCATTTATTTCGGTGGACGAAGGGAAGGAGAGAGCTGGAACTGGGCCTGGGTCCTCAGCACCACGTTGGCGCGGCACATCGGCTACTTGGAGCTCCTCCTGAAGCTGATGTTTGTGAACCCTCCCGAGTTGCCAGAGCAGACCACAAAGGCTCTGCCCGTGAGGTGAGTTGGTCCTTTCGATGGAAGTAGCTTTTCTTTTTTTTAATCTTCAACCTGAGGATATGTTTACTGATTTTTAGAGAGAGAAGAAGGGAGAGAGGGTAAGAGAGAAACATCGATCAGTCCCTCCCGTACAACACCCTGACCTGACCGGCAGCCTTTTGGGGCGCAGGACCACCTGAGCCACCCAGTCGGGGCTTGGGGCGCTGCCATTTAATCATATTGCGGGGTCTGTCAGGACGTCCGATTCCTGCCTTTCCCCTCTGCCTTTAGTCAGGATTCATATAAATTTGCTACATGTGACTTTTTTATTGTTTTTCCAAAGAAAAGTGTGTGATCAGGTGTTAGAAATGGGGGATACCTAATTTCAAGTTTTTTCCCACCGTAGAATTTTAAGTGCAGTGTTTGGAAGGAGATGTAAGAAAGCACAGGGTGAGTGGTGCATGTTGCGGCAGCTCCCTCAGCGGCTGAGGGACGTCTCTTCCCTTCCCCAAGGTTCTTGTTCACAGATTACAGCCGGCTGTCCAGCGTGGGCGGGGAGACGTCCATGGCCGAGATGATCGCCACCCTCTCAGACGCCTGTGAGAGAGAGTTTGGCTTCTTGGCAACCAGGCTCTTTCGAGTGTTCAAGACTGAAGATTCGCAGGGTAGGACTTCCTGCCTCCTCCTCCTTTGTGTGTGTAGGGGTTCAGGGTGCGCTGCAGACACAAGGTGAACGTCAGGTTGTCATATGCTGTCCCTGCAGTGATTAGGGCTTTCTAGGGACTTGCTATGTCAGTAACTGTTATGACCATTTGTTGTGTTACAGGGAAAAAGAAGTGGAAGAAGACGTGCTGCCTCCCATCCTTTGTCATCTTCCTCTTTGTATTTGGCTGCATTATCGCCGGGATCACTCTGCTGGCGATATTCAGAGTCGACCGCAAGCATCAGACGGTGAACGCCGTGCTCATATCTATTGCATCTGTGGTGGGCTTGGCCTGCGTGCTGAACTGTCGTACCTGGTGGCAGGTGCTGGACTCGCTCCTGAATTCTCAGAGGAAGCGCCTGCACAGCGCCGCTTCCAAGCTGCACAAACTGAAAAGTGAAGGATTCATGAAAGTAAGCGTCCTGTGGCTGTTAGAGAAGAGCTATGCGGTGACCGTGCGCCCGCCTGCGTCCGTGGCCACTCGGGCTTGAGGGCCTGTCCTCTCTGAGCGTCAGAGTGTGCGTTTGTTTTTCGTGTCAGTCCAGATTTTTCCTGTGGAAATACGTATCTGAAGTGGGAAAGGTTATAACAAGGACGTGTGCTTCGTAGGTGGTAATTCCTACCTGGTAATAGAGGCTCCCCCGGAGCAGCGATGTTCAGCTGCGGGGCTACAAGAACTTTGTGACCATGCAGTGCCCGACTGCTCAGCCAGGGGCACCGGCCTCTTTCCCTCAGACTGTCAAATGAAACATAGCAACAGCCAACACAGTAGCCATCCAGTGGGAAGCCCTGTCTTGAATCATAAACGTATTGGTCACGTAATAAAGCTGCATCTTACTGGTCTCATTGCATAATAAGACTGCATCTGATTGGTTAGTTCTTGGTATCAGAAATCCTAATATACAAGTTTAGGCTCCTGTTTTTTTTAAAAACTCACTTGTGAGCAAAAAGAGTAGGTAATTACTATTATTTTTGTGTAAATCAATCAAAGTTATACTATTTTTGTCAGATTGGCCAAAAAGTATGTATTTTTTCGTGTGCCACAGAATTTAGTAATTAGTTTATGTGTGCCATGAGATGAAAGGGTTAAAAATCACTCCTCTGGAGCTTGGTAGAGTGGGCATATTGAGCCACTAAGGCAGAGAACGGCTGTACTGCCAGAGCCGCAGGGCTGAGTCCAGCATCTGCAGCGCCTGCCTTTGACTAAGGTCACGTCCCATCGGGAGCCAGCTGCAGTTTGATCCTTGGGATTTGCATTCAAATCTCAGACATCAGACATTCAGCGCATGTGATCTTGGGAAGAAGTCACTCAACCCAGTTTAATTTTTAAAGAAAAGGATACGACAGGACCTACCTCGTTGTAAGACTAAATTACTCTGATTTACGTGGAGTCGCTTTGGAAATTGTGAGGCACTCACTATGGTTTAAGGGGAACCGGGACCGGCAGTGAGGTCTGTGGGTTCCTTTCCTTCCCAGCAGACGATGTCCATCAGGCTTCTCAGGGCATGTGCTGCGCTCCCCCGTGTCTTCAGGGCTGTCTGTCCTCTTCCGCCAGGTCCTGAAGTGCGAGGTGGAATTGATGGCCAGGATGGCGAAGACCATCGACAGCTTCACTCAGAACCAGACACGGCTGGTGGTCATCATTGACGGGCTGGACGCCTGCGAGCAGGACAGAGTGCTCCAGATGCTGGACACCGTACGTCTCCCCACCTTGAGCTGTGTAACCGTCACCTGTGGCAGCTGGGGAGTGACTTCAGGAGTAGCTCACATGGAACCAGAATAGCACTTTTTCTTTTGTAATAATAACCATTTTCATGCCGAAACATAGCAAGAGTAAATATTTCATCCCAAACAGATTGAAATAATTTTAACTTAATGGCAGAGTGAAGAGAAAAACTGCACGGAAGGGCTCTGAAGGTCATCGCGTGGCCCCAGCGTTTTCTTGCCAATGGTTAGAGTTCAAGTGGGAGGGAGGGCAGGGAGCCCGCAGAACCTGCGGGTTCTTAAGGCCGGGCATGCCAGGCCTCTGTAGGTATGTTGTAAGCGCCAGTGTGGGACTGGGCAGAGCCGGTGTGCCCCATGCCTTGTGTGTGTTCACAGGTATCTTTCACGTGTGTTCATCTTGCCTGTTATGTGGACCACACATGTCTAAAATAGGGCAGGGTTCACTGTTTTCCTTGGAGGTTTTACTACTGTCCAGTGGTGAGAAAGCGTTGGATGGTTAAAAACCGGACTGAGACTTCAGTGACATTTGTTTTCACGTAGAATAATACTTTGATAAAAAATAGTTTTTAAACAACATAGTCATCAAAGGGTAACAGATTTTGAGGAGACTTTTTATTACTTTGGGTAATTTAAAATTTGTCATGATCATACATGTCTCCTACCACAGGTCCGAGTTCTGTTTTCAAAAGGCCCATTTATTGCCATTTTTGCAAGTGACCCACACATCATCATAAAGGCAATTAACCAGAACCTCAACAGCGTGCTCCGGGACTCCAACATCAACGGGCACGACTACATGCGCAACATCGTCCACCTGCCCGTCTTCCTCAACAGCCGCGGGCTGAGCAACGCGAGAAAGTACCTCGTAACTTCAACCACAAATGGAGACATTCCGTGCTCGGATGCTGCAGGTAAAGGTCGAGTTCTTCGGGTCCTTTGGGAGGTACATAGGTCAGTAGTTTTTTATGGCGACTCCCCTTTTACCTTGACAAACCTAGCTGGCCCTTCACTTCCCTTGCGCCGTTGCATGCGACAGCGTGCTGGTGCAGACGGTGCTCTGGTCTGTTGTTGAAGGGACACAGGACGACGCTGACAGGCGGGTCTCACAGAATAGCCTTGGCGAGATGACGAAGCTCGGTAGCAAGACCGCCCTCAACCGACGGGTAAGACGCTGTTGGCTTTGAGCCACGTGCTTGTGTTGCTGTTACTCGGATAGAGTGAAGGTGATGTCACTTGGCAGTCTTCTGTAAACTCAACTCATCAAGTAAATTTTGTCACTGAATTTCCTTTCCACTTCACTGGTTCTCAGGGAGTGTCTGAACCTACCGCCATAACAGCTATAAATTATACAGCAGCCCTGTCCTCTCCCCGCCTGTTCTCAGCTGTGTGCTGCTACAGACCCAGCCTGGTGGCACCCGAGTCCCCGAGGGGGGGTCCCACGGCCCTGCCGAAGGTGCCACCCAGTGGGAGAGCCTGCATCCACCCTGCGTGCCGCGGCCCCGCAGCTGTGGGGGAGGAGGCCGCTCGCGGCAGGCAGGCCCCGGTCCAGCTTCCTGCTGGCCTCCCTCTCCCCGCGTGTGTGCGGGCGTGGCTGTCTGCCGTCCCCGCGCAGTGGTTGTGTGCCCTTCCCGGCCACCTCATTTTCCAGGGAACGCTCTAGTTGTCCCTATCGTATCCCATTCCTTGATTGGCACTGTTGTTGGGTTTGTTCGGGGTTTTTTTCCTTTTGGTTCTAAGTTTGTTATCAGTAAATTTGGATATTTTACATTTAAAAATGTGTCTTCAGTGACACTTTGACATTCTGACTTTACGTCTCCCCCCATGCAAGCATGGGCGCACAGTTAGTGTTACAAATGAGAGCCGATGACGCGGGCTCCAGAGCAGCGTGTGGCCGACCGATTGGAAGTTCTGTCCTGAGAGTGTGCGCCCTCGCGCTCCCTGTGGTGCGTGCACTGTCCGTGGTCCACGGCCTTTGGTGAGAAGGCACCTTGTTGTACCTCTTCCTCCTCTCGTAGTGGCATTCCTCGCCCCGCCCTGCCCGGAGGAGCCCCTTTAATTTATTTAGTTACTTTAATTTGGTGCCTTTAATGCAGATGTGAGGATAGCTAGAGCAGCCATGCCTGTTAGATAGTTGTCACACATTAAAAAATAAAAAAATGCTGAGTCCTTTAAACAAGGAGTTATTTGCTTTATAATTTCAGGATTCCTATAAATCCTGAGCTCCTACAAGAGTTCGAATCGAATTCTCTTCGTATAATTCTGCTTGCCTACAACCTTCAGGGCACTGAGCTTTCTTCCGCTGTGCGGCCATGAGCGCCCCCCGCTGTGCCCGCCCCGCAACAGCTGTGCCTTGGCTGCGGCGCTGCGGGGGACTGGGGAGCTTCCCCCTCGGGCAGTAAGGACGCTACCTGATCAGTGTACAGACTTTTTGGTGGTGGTGTCATAAACACACATGGCCTTCTCAGGACACCAGGTGGGCTCACTCTCCCTGATGGTGGCTGTTCCAGGACACTTATCGGCGGAGGCAGATGCAGCGCACCATCACCCGGCAGATGTCGTTCGATCTCACCAAGCTGCTGGTGACGGAGGACTGGTTCAGTGACATAAGCCCGCAGACCATGAGAAGGTTACTGAACATTGTTTCTGTGACAGGTGACTTGTTTCCTACTGTCTTCTTGTAGAGAATAAGCTTTCATGTTACCAGAAACAAAGGCACATGCTGTGCTTATCTGTTGCCATGGCTGAATTCCAGTTTTATTTGCATTAAGTATATTTAGTAAAACCAGTGTTAGTTTTGACAACAAAAGTCAACTGTCAGTTGTGCACTGTTATTTTACAACTTGACGATTTAAAAAACCTTTTCTGCCACCTCAAGTTGCCTTGGGTACCAGGTAAAGGACCCTGTCCCCGACCTAGCAGGCCAGACGCCCTCCGAGGAAAAGGCGTCCGGCAAGGGTCGTGTGTTTGTGTGAATGAGCCGAGAGGCTGGAGGGTACGGGAATAGCTGGGAGAGGCAGGCGTCTGTCGGGAGTAGGGAGAGGGATCGAGCCAAAGCAGCCCGGTCTTAACATAGAAACAAGCTGAACTGACAACGATCAAGTAAAACCGACAGTGTGTAGAATTAAAAAGCAATGATATCTGCAGTTTAGAATCCCAACAAAGCAGGGGTGACAGAGGCTGCGAAATGAGGTGTTGGCTCTAAAAGCTTGAGGGTTGCAGCTGCCACGTGTAGGTCTGCCCCTGTCGGGGCGCTGACGGGGTGCTCAGAAAGCCCTGGGGAAAGGCTGCACGTTTGGGGACTACGTAAACGAGGTTTGTAAACATGTGGGAACTCGCCTAAACTGAAGGTGTGTGGGGTTGCACGTGCATATTTGGTTCCTTTACGATCCAGCGGTGAGCCCGCCCCAGGTGCTCCGTGTCCTGCCGGGCGGCCGTGGGTACCGGCACGGCCGTCTGACGCACGGCGCTGCGTGTGTGTGGTCAGAGCTGTGTGGTCAGTGCGACACCAGCAGGAAATCACCCCAAAATTACGTTAGAAATAAAGAGAACTGGGTTGAAGCCCCAGAAGCTTCCCAGGAGAGCTTTTGGATTATAGAAGCTATATATATATAGTTGGTTTGAATTTGTTGTGTAAATTAAGTGGCAAATTTTAAAGATTTAAAGTTAAATTATTTGCAAATATGCGATACGTTTTGTTTAGCACAGCATTACACATCTACTAACTTTCAGATGTCCTTGCACACCCTGCAGGGAGGTTGCTGAGAGCCAATCAGATCAGTTTCAACTGGGACAGACTTGCTAGTTGGATCAACCTGACCGAGCAGTGGCCGTACCGAACCTCATGGCTCATACTGTACTTGGAAGAGACTGAAGGTGTTCCGGATCAGATGACGCTGAAAGCCATCTACGAAAGGTACTCTGATCTCTTCATAGTTCACTGTATCTTAGATTGAGGTGACCTTTCAGGAAAATGTTAATGCATTTAAAGCAAAATGAGTACAAAATGCTATGTATAAAATGGACGCTTCCAAATTCAACTCATGATTCTCACTCATTCTGTTATACTTCTGGACTTGTATTAGTACAAGTATATATTACATCATACAGCTCTGTCCTGGCTGGTTGTGGCTCAGTGGATTGAGCACTGGCCTGTGGACTGAAAGGTCGCCGGTTCCATGCCCAGTCAGGGCACATGCTTGGGTTGTCGTCCAGGTCCCCAGTGGGGACATGTGAGAGGCAGCAAATCAATGTATCTCTCGCACATCAATGTTTCCCTCTCTCTCTGAAAACAAATAAATAAAGTATTTAAAAAAATAGAATTTATAGCCTTATTTGGATATATTTTTCGTTTTTCATTGTAAGCTATGTGATCAAATGTTTAATAGTTCTATTGGCTTTCTGAATTTATATATAAGAAATGCAATGCTTAAAACATTATTATTTGTTTCCATTTTATTTTTTTATTCTATGTGTCTTCATAGAATATTAAGGAAGTTACATTTTCCAAATCATTAGTACAAGTAGTTTCTCAGCTTTATATCTTAAGAGTTTTACGAACTGTGAATACTGATTGGAAAACATTCTTTGTCATGGCTGGTCTAGCTCAGTGGACTGAGTGCCGGTCTGTGAACTGGCGGGGGGGGTCTCTGGTTCGATTCCCAGTAGGGACACAGGTCTGGGGTGCAGGTGGGTCCCCGGTGGGGGGTGCTCGAAAGGCAACCACACATTGATGTTTCTTTCCCTCTTTCTCCTTCCCTTCCCCTCTTTCTAAAAATAAATAAATAAAATCTTTCAAAAAATTATTTGCATTACATCATAAAGGAATTTATTACTCTTTATATTCAGACACTTGAAGTACTTTTAAAATTTCTACTTTTGCTAAATTGATTACATTTGCGTGAAAGACATGCAGTAAGGCTAAGTGAAATGTCAAGTATGTAAAGTTTTAAGAGTTACCAATTTATTACCAAATTCAGAACTAAAATTATAATCCTTTTTGTTCACCAGAACACTTAATACATTCGAAGTTTTCAATTACTACTCTAAATAAACCATCTCTTAGAAAAACTATAATACGAAGTAACTATACAATTTTATAAAACCCAGTAAAATTGAAACTACTATTTTGTAAATGAAGTATTAAATCTGACAAAGCGTTTAGTGCATAGTTCACGTATTAAAAAAGATTTCACAGTTTTCTTTCCTCAGGATATTGTCAGCATGTGGTTTTCCTTGTTTTCCAACCCTGTTTTCCACTCCGTGGCTCGTTCAGCGTGTCTCACCTAGATGACTAGTCCGGAATGACGGGACGCGGGGCGGCAGGGCGAGGCTGCGGGCGTGCCAGCAGGCGCAGTGACCCGCCGTGGCCGCGGCCGCAGGCCCCCAGCGCGGCGCCTGCCCCGTGACGGCTTAGGAATCTCGTGGGAGGCGCGCCTGGTGTGTAGCAAAGCTTTGCTTTATTTCCTAAGCAGACATTTGCGTCTTAACGCAGATACTGTGTAATTATGAACGTTTGCTAGAGGAGCACAGGTATTATCAAACAGTTAAAATAACTTTTTAAAAGTTTTAACTTAATAATAATTCACACCAACATACTGGGATTTATTTTTCACATGGCAGTTTTTATATAAAGCTCTAATTAGCGTGGACAGGTCATCTTTGACACCTTATTTTTTCCCCCTGAGAAGGTGGTGTTATTTTTGCATAAATAGATTAGAGAAAACGGCAAGGCTCCATTTGGGAACGAGGAGCTGGGTTCTCAGATTTCGTTTTGCCTGAATCGGTGTTGTTCTGAGAGCCACGTACTTGGTTTCAAGACATTTGAAGACGCGGGCAGGAGAGCTGGCTGTGGCCCTGGGCCCTCGCCGGAGGCGGAGGGCGGGTGCGTAGCACCGGCGTCGTCCCCTTGCGCTGCGTGTGCCTCGGCCGGCCTTCCCCAGCGCCAGGTCCTCCGTGAGGCGCCTTGCAGTCCTCCAGAGTCTTTGTGAAGCTCAGGGAGGCGCTCAGAGTGGCTCCCTGTTGTAACAAGGAAAGCGGGGTGCGGAAAGTTTAAGGCGCTCATGGCCACTCAGCTCCCGAGTAGCAGAGCTCTTCCCGTCAGGCCCTGGGAGCACCCGCACCCGCCCTGTAGCTCTGCCGGCCTGCGGGGCGGGCGGGCCCGGGAGAGGGGCGTCCGTGTGGGAGGGGAGCATCGACAGGCTGCCCCAGCGCGGGGCCAGGCCCGCTGCCCCGGCACGCGCGCTGACCGGGGATTGAACCGGTGACCTTTCAGTTTGCAGGACGACGCCCAACCTACTGAGCCACCCCGGGAAGGGCTGTGTTTATTTTTTTCTGGGATGATGGCAAGAAGACAGATACAAAGAGAATGAGGACTAATTTGATCTCGTTTTAGAAATTATCCTTTGAATATAACATGTCTTCCTGAAATCTTGTTTCTTTTTAAAGAAACCAATAAATTTAATAGAAGATTGAACAATAAAAAGATAGCTTAGAGTGAATTTCTGTAGGGGAAGTACTTTGTTCAAGTAAACGTAGGTTATTGGGTGTTGGCTGGATAACGAGATGGCGGCCTCGCCGGCCGCGTACTCAGTCTGCCGTTGCGGACCCTGGCCCGTGGTGGGCCTGCCATCGCCAGGTGGGCTGGGGGCGGCGGGAGGTACCTTTTTTTTTTTTTTTGACAAGTGAGTATGTCTTATATGCCTGCAAATACTTATATAGAATGTTTTGTGGATACTCTAAGGAAGAGAAAAAGACAATGTAGTAAGAACCTTTGAGCATTCATGAAGAAATTGACTCAATTAAATTTAAGATAATTTGAATGAAAAACTATGGGAAGACAATTGGATCAACATACTGAAAAATCATATATTGGAATATATTAAAATAATATCAATGACTATTTCTATTAACTAGTTCTTTAATGCTATTGTCTGTCATTTGAATAATAAAAAGTGTTATTTACAGCAGACAAAAGCAGTGGTATGTAATTGATACTCGTTTATTTTATTAAAGAAGTCTGATTTGCTAAAAACAATCAGAAAATAGTATTTTTAACATTGGTAGTAAAATTTTTTAATCCATAAAAAGCCTCATTTATTTTTATAGCAATTTGATGACACATCTGCACGCTTTATTCGGCTGAAAAAGACAGTGTTGGTTCTTGGTGTTTGGTAAAATTGCTTTGTTAAATTGTTTTCTAAATTGTTCAACTTTTAACAAATGACATTTGATACTAACACTGGAAAGCAATTTCAGCTAATTTAGTAGATCCCTCTATAAACCACTGGAACATTAAGATGACATACTGTTCATTCAAGATTATTTTAATTGGTACAATTATTGTAATTTTCTTGCAATTATGTGTTGAGCTAAAAGCTTTTGTCTAGATCATTTGAGGGGTTTTTTTTTTGTGTTAACATACATTTAGTAAGAAAAAAGGGAGTAAAATAAAAATTGTAGATAAAGATTTTGTCTACTTTGTATTATATAGCATTTTAGGCAACCATTGAAATATTTTAGCTGTGAAACTTTATTTCCTGTATTTTTCAGTAAGCATTTTAAGCATTGATAGAGGTTTTGAAAAGATCAATTTTAAGTTTTCTTGAAGATAATGCTTAACATTTTTGTTTTGACACTGCACAAGAAATCTTTTACTCGGGATGAATGGTCAGAAGTGTTTTGTGATAAGGGTAATGCCAACCTTTATTGTGGTATTTCATTTTGATTTTCAAAACAATTGAATAAGCTTTGAGAGAGCCTGAGAGAGGTAGCCATCTTTCATTTCATTGAAATAGCTATTTGTTGAATAGACACTTCAGTATCTTTAAATTATTCAAGTGGTGGTATTTCCGCACAGGAGACACTTTTATAATAGAACATCATCTCATGGTATTTCTTCCTCACAGTCAGCCAGAGTTTCGGTGGGTTTAATTCGACCCCTTCTAGGTTATCTCGTGCCTCCCCTAGCTCTCACTAACCACCTTCCTGTTTTCTGCATGCTCTGCATGGTGACTCGTGGGCCCCCCATCATGGGAATAATCGGGGCCAAGCGAATAGCATGAAAAACTGGGCACTCGTTAGTTTACATTGGTGAAGAAGTTACCTCCTTTGCAGTACAAACTGTATCCTTTGTACTGATGGCTTTTCTCTTAATTTACGTTTTGAGATACTGTAAATATTTATTCCAAACACTGTTTCATGCATGCTGTTTTGTTTTTTATATATAGTTGGGATCTTAATGCAGTTCTGTCTTCTTGATGTGCTGTGCCTTCTCTGTAGGCAGTCATGTTGTCATCAGTCAACATTAATTACATTACTGTCTTGTGTGTAAATACTGGTTTCATCTTTAGTCCCAAAATACACTTATCCTAATGTATATGTAATGTAAGTACTTTCTTCAGGGGTTCAATGTTTTTTCAGTGGCTTTGTCTCTTGATAATGATGATCTGATCTTTGCAAATCATGAGCTAATTGTCCATGTAGAAAACTAAACAGGTTTGTGGAAAAAAATATCTGAAATAGAAATCGCATTTTATTTGGATAGACATAGGTAGCATTTGTATATTTGTCAAGTTTAATATGAAGATTGAGCCTTCGAACCATGAACAAAGACGCCTGTAATTAGATGTAATGTTGACAATTCAAAGCGTGCATTTCTGGTTGGTCATTGTTTATTTTTATTTATTGTCTTTGTGGAATGTAATTGGAAAATCCAGGTTCCTAAAGATAAAGAAGAAGGGCGGGATGTTTTAGTTTATTTTGATGTAGCTACAAAGCAGGCCTGCTTTTGTTTTGGAGGAAAAAAATGGAGCAGGTTACACTAGACCTGTTTCCCTGGTCATCTCTCTTGCCACGTCTCCGCTTTGTTGTGGCTGCCAGGCTGATGGGGGAGCTCGGTGTGCGAGGGAAAGTCGC